CTATACTTTGACCAAGGTATTAATACAACATGGTGTTTAGTATTTAGTGCAAAATAAATAGTGTTTCTACAGTGCTTTCCGTTAGGAGAGCCTCAAAGAATTTCACAATCTTGTATATTCCGATAGCACCTCTGGGAGGCATACAGTTGCCATTTTACTAACCAGAGGCACCTTAGTTATTTAATTATACACTTACCACTGGTTGGGTAGACATTTGAGCTTGGACCAAAGCCTGTATTGTGGATGAAGACAGGCTTCCAGAATTCAGACTCCAGCCTGACCCAAACATCTACACAACCATTTTTAGCCCACTGCCTGCACTACAAATCTGAGTCAGGTGACCTGGGTCAGCTACGACTGTCTGTGATATGGACTTTTTATTCCAGTGTAAATATACTCAGAGAGGCTATGAAATCAAGGTCAGAGGAAGCCTGGAGAACAGGAAATTGAAGCCAGCCTCCCAACTCCTACGCAAGTGTCCTAACCCTTGGCTATTCCATACTCTCCAACAGATAGAAAAGGACAACAGAACAAATCAAAGTGCACATCTTGATCACACTGCACTTACTTCTGCTCCCCCCACCAGGAGGACATTGGCAGGGAATCTAACTGCAATCTGTACATCTACAGTGAAGACTAATAATTTCCATTTATGTCAGAAAATCTGTCATGCCAAAGAAGGGTAGAAGAATCTCAGGATATTTGCACTCAGTATCCCTCAGTAAAATAGTTTAATGCAAAGCCAACATTATGGCAAAATAAGAATTAAAACAAATTAAGCATAATTTCCACATAACAATAAGCATAATATACTCTTTCATGCAGGAACACAAAAGCTCTTAATGTGTAAATCCCATGCAGAGGGAAGACTTATTTTATTTGTGGGTAAGCTGAAGCAAATAACGTGAGTGACTTGCTCAGGTTACACAGTGAACAAAACAAACTGCTCATTTCAGTAAAACATTTAACTACATCATCTGACATGTGTGGTACGTGAACCGCAGTTAAATGGACATGTTATAGACAGAAGGACAAGTAATGGAAACCATATTTTATGGCTGCTAACCCTGTGTTAACAGATTGCATAAAAGATGACATCAGCAAGTCAGTTGCTTAAAAAAAAGGGATAAAGGAGGTAAAATCTGTGGTTATTGAGAGACCAACAGATTCTATGAGCTAAGCTAAGGTAGAACTTATTAAAATTCAAAAGTAAGTGTAAGATTCATCCAAAAATATTGGATATTAATTTGTTTTAGAGGTAAATGTAATCATCAACGCCCAGACCAGGAGTGGGCAAAATAGGGCCTGCCAGCCAGATCAGGCCCAGCTGATTAGCAGAGCATGCATACTTACAGTCCGCACCCTGTGTTCAGCTGCCCCTCCCCCCACCTTGCTCTGTCCTGTAGCCACGCTGCCTTCAGTACCTTTCTACTACCTGTGCAGAGTGAGAGGTGGATGACAAGAGGGGGGGGTGTGTGCTGAAGTCAAGGTGTCCCCTTGCCCCTGTACACCATCTCTGCAGAGCTAGGGGGAGGAAGGGGGAGACACAGAGTGGGGCATGGATGGTAAGTGACTTAAGAACAGTGCTGGGCAACCTGCGGCCCATTGGGGTTCTACATGTGGCCCGCAAGAGTTTTTGTTCACCATTGCCCACGCACAGTTGCCAGATTCCACTGATTTCCATCCAAGTAGTTTTTTTTTCCTACCAGTACTACTAAAGTGACACACATGTCAAGCAAGGGCACCTGAAGAGTCAGCACCGTGACAATCATGTGCTTCCTCCACATCCAATCAAAGTGCTTCTAGGATTCAATTCACACACTCTGCAAATTCTAAGTACACAAGTGCAGTTAGCAAAACTGCCCCATCCCGGGAGACTATCTTGGGTTCCAAAAATCTTGCAGCCCACTGAGCTGAAGGAGCCACTCATGAAGGCCAGTCACTAACCTAGGTTGCCCATTGCTGCTGAAGAGGCAGTGCACGGTTTCTAATATTTCAGCTTTCTCTCAGAAACACACACTCGCCCATTCCATATACACCCCCCCCACACCTCTGCTGGAGGGAGAAAGCAGAGCAGAACAGTTTTCCCTGTCTTAAAGAGACAGAGTGTGCTGTCTCTCAAACTAATCCAGCAGCAGCCTGTGCGCGCACGCACGCGCGCGCACACACACACACACACACACACAGTCTCTGTGTAGGGCTGAAAAATGAAGTCACCCTTTTAATGAATTATATCTACCAATATGACAAGTAATCTCATGAATTGCAGCCCTATTTTTATTAATGGGATTTGGATTAATTTGTCAGAAACCTATTAAGAATTGCCTTTGAATAATCCATTATTTATAACTTTTTTTATATACTGTAACTGAAACCCATTTTAAATTGTTAATACTTTGTAACTAAAGTGACTCCATATTGTAACTGAAACCCCATTTCAAACTTTATACTGCCTTAACTCTGTTTAAAGTTAGGTGTTTCTATGTAATCTGATTTTAAAAGTGTGAATGTGTGTCTCTGAAGCCAGCTTGTTTGTGTGATCAGCTGCCAGCACAACGTTGATGGCCAAAGAACAATGTGAATGAGGCCTGTAAAAGAAACCACCCAAGAAAGATACACAAAAGTCCCATTACGAAAAAAAGATCCAAGTCCCATCTGTCATTTACTGATGACTCATGGTCATATAGTGCCCCGGAGCAGTGAGACAGGACAAGATCTATTGACTAAAACATAAAAAGATGGGTGCCAAAACTACAGAATTGGGGTCTTTCAGTTCTACAGTCATCCTCCGAGAGCACTGGGCACACTGACACAACCCAGGTCTCCTCCTCATCTCTAGGCCACCGGGCAAGTGGAATAGCATGAGCAACTGAGGCTGGTAATTATATTCCATCTGTAGAACTGTGTATATGAGTGTGTACATCTGTAGTGGATAATTGTAGTAGCTAGGGACAGTATATGTATTCTGCCTTCACAATAAACGTGGCATATTGCCTTATCTCCCAAGAGATTCTGCTAGTTCTATTTCTCTCAGTGTAACACCTGTGCCCCCCCACAGTCTCTGTGCCACAAAATCTGCCTCTCACACAAAGAGTATGTATGTGTGTCTCACACTCATGCACTTTTTCTCTCTATCCTCCTGCCCTGTCCCTTCCACCTGATGCCCCACACTTCGAGAGCCCGAGCCAGCCCTTCATAACTTATCAGAATTCATGGAATGGTCCCCCTATGAAAATTATTGCCTATCCCCATTCCAGATTAAGGATGTTAAGAGGCGGATAACTGGGTAATCATTTAGTCGACACAAATTGTACTGACTACACAATTAGTCGTTAAGGGAAGGAGCTGAGAAGGTGCTACCCTCACTGCAGCTCTGCAGTTTAAATGTAGTAAGAGCCAGGTGTAAAGGACAGCTCCCTCCATAATTAATTCCCTGCCATTTGTAAAAATTTCAATTCTATAGAAGCTATACACAGACAGAATGGGAAGTGACTGTCTAAGAAGGAGTACGGCAGAAAGGGATCTAGGGGTTACAGAGGACCACAAGCTGAATATGAGTCAGCAGTGTGATGCTGTTGCAAAAAAAGCAAACATGATTCTGGGATGCATTAACAGGTGTGTTGTGAGCAAGACAAGAGAAGTCATTCTTCCGCTCTACTCTGTGTTGGTTAGGCCTCAGCTGGAGTACTGTGTCCAGTTCTGGGCACCGCATTTCAAGAAAGATGTGGAGAAATTGGAGAGGGTCCAGAGAAGGGCAACAAGAATGATTAAAGGTCTAGAGAAAATGACCTATGAAGGAAGGCTGAAAGAATTGGGTTTGTTTAGTTTACAAGAGAGAAGACTCAGGGGGGACATGATAGCCGTTTTCAGGTATCTAAAAGGGTGTCATAAGGAGGAGGGAGAAAACTTGTTCACCTTGGCCTCTGAGGATAAAACAAGAAGCAATGGGCTTAAACTGCAGCAAGGGAGGTTTAGGTTGGACATTAGGAAAAAGTTCCTAACTGTCAGGGTGGTCAAACACTGGAATAAATTGCCCAGGGAGGTTTGTGGAATCCCCATCTCTGGAGATATTTAAGAGTAGGTTAGATAAATGTCTATCAGAGATGGTCTAGACAGTATTTGGTCCTGCCATGAGAGCAGAGGACTGGACTCGATGACCTCTCGAGGTGCCTTCCAGTCCTAGTAATCTATGATTCTATGAGTCAAGAACAGTTATACCTCAGGCCATGGGAACTGTGAAACTGTCCAAGAAAAGGGCTCATTTTGACCCATCTGGCCACCTTCTGCATCAATCTGTCCATACTATATGGATAACAAAAATAATTCTACTGAATAAAGTTAGGACAAAAAAATAACAGGCCTTGTTTGGTGTTTGTTTTCTCTTCCAGAAAACTAGTGTTTATTAGACACATAGCCACACACTCACGTTATTAGCTTATGAAATACAATACAGCAGTGTAACATTCACCTTAAGGAAAAACATTTCATTTTCTCTTTCTAAACCCACAGATGACCTCCAAAGAGAGTCTACAGAAAATATGGTCTAAAAAGTGCCAATGAAGGTATCCAAGGTCAGTGACTGGAAGTTTGCCATCTCTCATTTCATCACCACATAGTATAGCATTCCTGTAAGAGGACACCATAATTTTTCAATACATTTACTACAGTCTTGCCTCAGTGGGAAATACATTTAAATTAACTCTCAACCTACACATTAACACTCCATTTTAATCAGTTTAGCAGGTCATGGGAAAGGTCACCTACTGACAAAATTGATCTTTCTGAATTGTTTTGCTACATATGTTATTTCTTATTCTAACTAGAACCCATGGAGCTTTTTCATGGGCCTGATCAATATTCTTCTGCTTCTTTTTCCCTCTTCCTACCATGCTCAGAATAAATAGTGTGCCCAAAAAAAGGGGGGGGGGAGAGGGAGAGAACAAGACTAGTATAGATTTTCATGTTCTAATTAGGAAAGGCACCACTGGTGAATTATTTACCTCTCATGGGGTGAAGTTGAGACAACATATCCAGAAAGTCTGGCAGAGGGAACAATGACAGCTGAAGACTCGGCTAATGGTGAACTGAATGAAGTTGATTCTGGTCTAGTGAAGAGTTTGAATTTCATTAAAGGTAACAAAATTCAACGAACACAAAAAAAGATATCTACTCTAAACAGCATTATAAAGATATGTTAAAATCTGACCAAAAATACCAATATCTTGAATGGGAATGAGGGTTAAAATCAAAGTCAGATCTGAGATGAGGCACAATTTGAGACTTTTCATGAATTTTGTGAAGACTCAAAAGTGTATTGCTACTTGTACAATCAGTAGATGGCCAATTATTATATTTACAAAGATGAGACGTACATATTTAATGTCACTCTGCATAGCATGATAGAAAAAATATAGTAAATATTAAAAGAGATTCTCAGAATTTCTCATCTGGCTTTCACCTAAGTGTTTTATATTCTTTCATTGTGGTTTCTTCATTTGAGAAAAGTAGTGGAGTAAGTTGTTTGGTTATGCCTACACCTCTGCCATGTAGTTTGGGTGCTACCGGATTTCAGAAGGGACTGGACCTTGAAATATCATTCTTAACATTTTCTCCACATTATGCCATCTTCCCAAACATGCCTGAAGTGACTGCAAACATGACATTGAATGCAACAAAAGTATTTTGTTTGAAGAAAAATGCACATCACATTTTTAATTGCAATTTTTTTTGATTAACAGGAAATAGGAGTTATGGGAGGTATAAGGTGAGCGTGTTAACATACCGTAATACATTTATCTTCCACAAATTCTGAGCAAGTAAGACTACCTATGTGAGACTGTATTCTTTATTTTAGTATCATGCAGTCTTAAGTGATATCAGTGTATTTAACTGATTTAGCAATTACAGAGAAGCAGACCTTATTGCTGGTAAGGGAGTTGACGAAGGTTCTGATGCAGCTGATATCTTGACAGTCTGAGTAGCTACTGAATGTTTATTTAAATTGAAAGAGGAATACTGGGCTTCTATTTCATTAGGTAGAACTGCAGACATGCTTTACAGATAATCATAAAGAAAAAATCATAGATATTATTGGAATAGAGATATGTAAATTCAGAACTGACCGAAAGTGGGACATTGTTTCACTCTGGATATGGATTTGCCCATTTTAAAAAATCCAGAAAAATCTATACATAAATCTGTTGAATATTACTAAAAGTTGAACAATAACCAACTCAAAATATGTCATGGATTTGGGAGTAGCACAATTCTTATGATCTATTTTAACTTAAGTTTTAAGCAAATAAACTGACAAAAACAGAGGCACAAGGAGAGAATGATGGCTTGAATATATTCCATTTATAAAAGTAACACAAAAACAATGCATCAGGTGTCACTCGGTATTTTTTTTTAATGTCCAAAATTATGTGCCACTTCAAAGAGATCCAGAATATACTTGAAAATAGGAAAAATTACTTTATCACTAATTGACTTGTAATAAAAAAAAAAATCTTTGCATACTTCTATGGAAAAATTGTTAAGTGTTTTTTATGTACTGTATTCTACTTCGGTTGGAACTTTCCACAATCACTGTTTCCTTCTGCAAAAGTAAAGTATTTGTAATAAACATAGTCACATACAGGAATGGAAAAAACTTAGAATATTTGGAAGTTTGCTTTAGAGAAAATTTAAAAAGCTTGGACATTTATCAGAAATTTATTCATAATTCTTGAAATTCTTCACCCTTCTTTGATTACATCTCCTTTGCCCAGGCCTGTTAATTTTAGGCCTACCTCCAAAATAGTGCAGCCAGTCTTTTTTTTTAATAAAAAAAAGTCAGGACACTTAGTATTTTTCCCATCTCACAGGAACAAAATGTATTCTGAAGCCTGATTTGAATCAGTTAGCTACCGCTAGATCATCTCATGGACCACAGACTGGAAGTTAGTCTTTCTGAAGGTTAAATGTATAGTTGGAATCAGAGTAAAGCATTTTCACATTTAAAAATAAAAGCAGTCTCGTGTTTCTCCCAACAGTTTTTACTTAGTGTGTGTATGTGTGTGTGTGGGGGGGGGGTATTAAGAAAGTATGTAATGTTGCAAGTACAATCTCATAAGTGTAGGTGAGTGGGAGGAAATGCCTGGACATGATCACATACTGGGACAGTCAAGACTGTGAGAAAATATCTTCAGGTGCATCTGATAAGAGAATGACTTCAATGGTAGGGCCCTTTGGTTTGTTGGAGAAGGTGTTGTCCTTTTTAAGGGCTAGAAAGATAGCTACTTACTACGTGGAGGTGGCTCCATACGCAAAGAGATGTGACTACTGACCCATTCTCACTCACCACCTCTGGTGACCTGAACAGAAGCCGAGTATGCTTATGTCTGTTCAATGGAGGCCTTCTCTTCCACCTAAAGCAGGCTGAGCAACCCCCACTTTCCCACCCCTGTTGAAAGGCCAGGCTTTAATTTTTTCCCCCCACTATGATCTGCTGTGGGCATTATGCTGGGAAGCAGCAGCAGAGCCAGCAAAGAATGTTTCCTTCACTGCCAAGGTGAGATTACAGGCAGTCCCAGAGTTACGCGGATCCGACTTATGTCGGATCCGTACTTACGAACGGGGCTTTTCTCGCCCCGGAGGACGCAG